CATCCATTTTCGTTTTTCACGATCCGGAGCGTTGTGTTGCATATCAATCAGGACTTGGGTTGGAATGTGGGATTGTTCTTCGTTTTTCTAAGTCATAAATATATGATAACCAAAAACAATCAAACTAACCGTGGTAGTTCCACATTTGCCCATATCGTCACATAGAACCTTCCCGTCAGACTTTATTCAGTAAAATCATGTCATAGTTATACTCAGGGGCCAAAAAAAATGAATTATCATCAATCTCAGATAATCAACAAAATAATGCAAAAAAAAAAAATCATTAAAAATCATCTATGACATTCAGATATTGAAGTGAAATCATGTCTCCATTAGCCGAGCCGTTTTCTATCTCAGAACCTTTCCTATCCAAAAGTAACAGCAGAGGGTACATTCCACTCACTTTGACGTCGTGGGCGTACCGGCCGTAGTGATAAACCGGATAAGCAGAGCCTACATACAGGAAAGTCAGCGACATCCACGCAATATCAAGATAGCCGAAAAGAAATCACGTTTCTTTTTTTTTTTTTTTTTTTTTTTTAGACGTCACAACGGTCTTACCCACTATTTCTGACGACTAGGGCGTGGTCATGCCCGAATGGTCCGGTTCAGTGTGCGGGGCCCTCAGGGCGTGGTTGAACAACCTGTTCACCACACATCGCACACGCTCCATTGGCCTCAGCCAAGAGCACATCCACCGCTGTGCGGTCACGGAACATCGTCAGAGAGGTGACTGTCAATTGTTTTACTTCCAACAGCCAAAACGGCTTCCTCAGTATGATTTGCAAGCTTCTGGACACTGTAGTGGAGGTAGCTTATTCCGTCAGCAACCTGGTTAAGCAATTTATACTCATCTGGTACGCCACGAGGAACTCCAATTGCACCAATGTATGTGGAATCTCAAATATCCTCTGCTGTGGATGGAAGCAAAGTCATGAGTTAAAGTAGCTTTCCAATTATTTTCTGTTCTTACTATAATTCCCCTCTTTTTCTACTTTTTTTGTTTGTGTATTAAAAAGAAAAAGAAAACCTCTGCTGTGATAATTGTCATTTGCCTATAGAATAGTCAGAAGTAAACTTCTGTATTATAGAAGTTTAATTAACATTAAAGAACAAAAGAAAGACACATAGTGACACTGACAGCGAAGATTAGCTGTGTCAACATCGATTTTTGGACCATAACAGAAAAGAACCTAACCACAGCAAAACAACATCAAACAAACATTAAGTAGACAATAGAAACCTTTCATCCTATTTTTTTAACTATTTCACCATTCTGAAAACAAAATTAAACAAATCAATAAACAGGAAATGGTGACATGCAATCATCGATATTCTCGCATGTCGACAGAAACACAGACGAAATTGTTACAATGCAGGGCAATGAGTGTGGTCAGCAACACTTCAGAAATTTACAATGTTTCCTTTTCATGCTCTCTGGCAATCTCAATTTTTTTTTCTTCAGTTTCGAGCATGTAATCAGCCAAATTAGTTAATACAACCGAATAATAAGATTACATACATATATCTTTTGACATTTTTTTTTTTTTTTTTTTTTACATGTAATCTCACAAATTACATAACCAAATGACCATAGGATAATTTAACTAAATCTATGCATGCATAGTTTCCAGGGCCTGCGTGTTTCATTCATGCATTTCTTCAACTGTAATTTAACCATAGAACTGTACTCCCCACCAATCCTGCAGATTGTGGATGGCAGGAGCAATGGTGTCATAAATCAATATGGATCATGCATTCAATTTCATCGATGACTGCTTTTGCACAATGTGTTCTCGATATAGGTTAAAACCTTAAGTTGTATAATGTTCCCGAACCAGAGACACCATTCCCCCCGCCAACGCGTGAGGTAATCCATGACGTAAAACGAATTGTGGGCAAAATGGGTTCACTGTCAGTGCTGACACAAACCCCATCTTGCAATGTAGTCCCCCTCTTATCTTTGTTCATTGATTGGAATTTGTTGCCGCATTTTAACAGAATTCAAATTGAAAATGTTATCCCGTCGCTTACAGTCAGTAATTTCCCTCCCAAAACTTTAGAAGCTGCATCTTTTGTTGTTTTGTCATCAGCACTTGTGTGCGCTGTGCATTTACGTATCCCAATTTAATGTGGTAACTGAGCAGCATTTGTCTTTCAGATTTAATTAGTTTTCTTTTCTTCAGCCAATTCCTGTCCAATTTGATTTTTCCCTACCCCAAGGTGGGTTGTATATATTGAACTGTGTTGCTCATCGCAAGAAACCCAGACACACAAGCAGGTCTCCCTAGACTTGTTTTCTAACCCTCACTGAGCCAAGGAACATATAGAATACAACAGAAAGCCTTTATTGTGGTTGTATAGTGCAGATACAATGGGCCGCAATACAGTACCATGTTTGTGTCTACAATCGAATAAATGTAAAACTCATAAGTGACATTCATACTCTCATTCAGCTCACAGCCTAAAAAAAAAAAAATCACCAAAAGCATGTATTCTGAAATGATCTTTTCTTCGTTTACTCACAAATCTGATTACTTTGTGCGAACCATCGGCTTATTTAGTTGAAAACTAATAGAAACAGGTGTGTGAATCCCACAACCCACAGTTATTTTTGGTGAAAGAACAGTAACTCAAACGTAACGCAGAACGAATAAATGTGACTTTGTAATATCATGTAAGTTGAGGGGTTCGTTGTTTTTCGTGGATAGCTCTTCTTTACGAATGACAAAAGGAGAGATGGAATCCTTTCATGCAGTTTATTGAAAGGGGAAAAAAGAAAGATGTCTGCACCGCAGCACGTTCGAGAACACAACTCTCGTAACTAAAATCACTTCCTGCTTCTCTTTAACAGCCAATCAGAACCTATCAACATAAAAACATGTCTAAGCAATTATTAAACAACAGAATATAATTTAGGTATGCTTAACATGAAATAATATGATGCTCAAACATAAAATGATAGTTAATAATATAACATAAGCTTACAATAACATGAAGCTGGTCATCAATGCACGTTTCACTGATTGTGCTCCTAGGCAGGCTCCAATATCCCATCAGTCAGCCTGTTTGTCGTGAACCTGTATGGCCCGGCTCACACGGTGCAGATGATGCCCCCCGACTCACTCAGTGCCAGGTAGGCCAACACTTTTTGAAAAATGAAGGAAATATAGCTGCACTGAGGCCGAGACATATTTTGTCACAAATCATGACATGCAAGGCCGCACTGTTCCACTCAATTCCTGTGGGTGTAGCTCCATCTGCTGGATGTGGTTGGTCACTGTGACGCTTGGATCCAGTGCGAGCGGATTGTAACGGTAAAAAGTGAAAATACATTTCGTTTATTCGAATCCTCACCAAAATCTAACAAGTTTTCACTTGGAACGTGTGCCACCCCTTTACAATATTTCTTATTCATACTTCTTCCAAGAAGCTCTCAGCAGACAGTCACTAATAATGAAAAGGACAAAACACAATTAATTGTACGTGCTTGTGTGTTTGAAGGCCCCTTCCTTGTTCATGGACGATATCATAAAACTTTACAATGGTGCCATTTTACGTGGCGGACTGTTGTACGCAATACCACCATAAAGTGAACATGATGCTGGGTTTGCACTGCATGGGCCCGGTAATAATTCTGATATGTAATGCCAAAATGGTCGGATTCGGAGCTGGGTCAAGGCAATGAAAAAAGGAGAGACTTTGGATCTACCTCATCAATTTGAGGTTGACGGCATTGAACTACTTTACATTAGGGCTGGGCAATATAGCCTTGAAGTAAGATCCTAATTTTTTTTTTCCACAAAAATTCAATTTTCAATTTAAAAATTTCCCCCTGCTTTTATTGAAAATAAATCAAATCACAATGACATTCGTTTTTTTTCCCTATAGCAATAACTTGCACCATCCACAGAAATATGATGAAATATTTTTTCTTTCACTGCAACGTTAAAGTAAGCGCTTCTGCCTTGAAAAATGTCCTCTTTGTCACAACATTCAAATCAGCACAATTGTCAATAAATGAACATAAATATTCAACAATGAATATCTCTTATGGTCTTTTGTCGTAGAGAATTGTACAGGAAAGGCGAGGCGACCTTCGCAAAATATTTGCGGCTTGGAAGCACAAACTGTTCCTTAAGTCCCAAGTTTCCAACATCTCGAAAAATCACTGCTTTTGCAACATATACTGTACATAGGCACAACACTTTTGGCAATGTTCAGCTCAATTTTCTCCATGTTTACTCCATGGTCAAATCAATGTGAAATCGGTCCGCACAGTATTAACATCAGTCGTTTTTTTGTTTTTGTTTGTTTGTTTGTTTTTTTTTTTTAATACAAGAGTGGTCAGAAAAGTTGCTATGCATCGTGACCAATACTAAGTAATATTGATTGTGCTTTTGTAAAGTAGCAGCTCATCTCTGATCGCAGACATGTTGTTTGTGCAAGCAGTGCGGGCCAGCATGAATGCAAACTATGGAAGCAGCGAGGAGAAATATGAATAATTAATAAATAAATGATCAGCATTCCCAGCAAAATCGTTTGATCGGCCAGCCCTGTGAATGACAATGAACAGACTCACCTCCACTGAAACAACACAAATAGGATATGTGGATATGTTTTATTTTAGTTTAAACATCTAGGCAGAGCGTAAAGTGTATAAAAAGGTTACATTTAAGATTCACAGACCATGAAATTAAGGAAGGAAAAACATAGGTTCCCTCCATTTAAACCTATTGGGAAATGACTCAATTCAGTCCAACTAAATGGTATGAAACATGGATTATTTCTTTCACAGTACTTCCATGTTGTCGCTGCCCAAATTGACATTTGGTTACATGCATTTTGCATGTCTGTGCATGGGATTGTTTCACTTGAAAATATTTGCAAATAGATGATTATATTGCAGGCAATTGGAGACTCTAAACTGTCCTGTAAATCCATTTTAAAATCATCAGTGTTCACCTAACCTGTGCAATTTGTAGAGTAATTGTCTAAATGTCTCTTTCCATAAAATCCACCTGTGTGATTTCCTACAGAGAAGGCTACATTTCCATGGTAACCTGGACCAGCAGCACCCGCCTGGCGGTTCGTTGGCTCAACCGGGCTCAGAATGAATCTGTACTTTGCGTGTGCGAGGCCACCACGGGGGCGTGCTCAGAGGTGAGGTGAATGGTATGATAAACAATGACGTGCGAGCACCTCTCATGGCCTGAATGGAAAAAGTTCTGATTTGGCTTCTGCACAGCAACAGCCAACTCTGCTTGCTTTGTGCAGTTGCAGATTACCTAATTGAGACAGTTTGATGTGTGGTGATGTCAGCATGGTAGCGACAATTGATTTCAGCGCAGTGGTGTGTGGACAGGTATTCTCAGGTGTTTAACTTTTCTAAAAGCTAAAATTTTGGTCGGCAATTTTCCACATCCGTTGCACCTTTGCTGCACGTGTACCTCATGTCACACACGAAACACATGCATAGAACTCTGGTGTATTACACATGACTTTAAGCCACATAATTTAAAATTATCCAAACCAATGCATTGTATTTTGAATGCACTAATATTTCTGATTTATTCCCCTCCAAAGAAACACAAGATGACCATGGACGTAATGCAAAGCCAATGGCAGGTATGAAGCACTGCAATGAATCCTCTTCGCTTACACACGTGGGTACAAATGATGGTGTCCTTCCTTTAACTCATTCACTCCCAAAGACGTTTTTAAACGTCTTTTCAGACTTGGTCCAGAATTGGCTGGTACTGAATGAGTTAAAGACAGAAAGACCACAATGGTCACTGAACTAACTTGAAACCGATCAAGTAATAATAAATAAAAATGCACCATAAATTAAGCAAAACCAATTGAGGATTTATTTATTTATTTATTTATTTATTTATTTTGTGGCCGACCAATATTACTTCAAAAACAAACCTGAATCTCGCCTAAACTAAAATGATGGTACCCCTACCTTAATGCAGTATTTTGTTGTGCAACCTTCCCCATATGTATCACAACTGTGCTTCTCCTGACTTGTGTCTGATGTTTTGGGGTTTTTTTGTTTTTGTTTTTTGTTTTTTTTTTTTATCTCAGCAGGATGTGCCACTGTTTTCAGATGATGGCTCCATATTTTACGCCATCCTGCCAGCCAAGCAGGGCGCCCGCGGAGAGTTCAGTCACCTCGCCGCTCTGTCAGCCCAGGTCCATTCATCTGAGGCTCACTCACATGTATCCCCTCCTAATTGTCCATTAACACTTCAGCGAGGGCAAACTAAAGCAAGGCTTCTCGTTTGTATTTACTGCACTCTCTCCCTCAGTACAGATAAATCATGATCAAGTAACGCTTTGCTGGGTCGCTTCATTTAATCTTCACCCAGGCAGGGCAAATTAAGAAAAGAGCAATGGTGCTTTTGGAAATGATACAGATGGACCTTATTTCCTGTTTGTCATTTCTCATTAACACTTATGTGAATGTGCCATTAGGTGAGCCCTTCCTATTAAGATGCAATTGAGGGATCTTCTCCCTGAGTGTTAATTTAATCTCTCTCCGTTACTCACAAATAATATATTCCGACACCTGTTATTATGATTATTCCGTTATGTCCACCCAGCCCACCGGTCCGTCCAGCCCTCCTCGGTTTTTGACATCGGGGAGCTGGGATGTCACCTCGCTCTGCGCCCTGGACGAGAAGGCTGGAAAGATGTAAGTGGTGTGGCCCGTTTTCTTTTAAATGATCTCTACACGAAGACCAAGTGTATTTCTTCACCTTTTCACACATCAAGCAACATGTTAGATCTTGTGATTACTTGCTCAGTCTTGAGAAAAATTATTGCTTAATTCTGTCATGATCCAGCTGTGTGAAGAAAGCCCTCAAGTAAAAATGGATCACAGTCCAAGCATTGCTGAGTAGTGATAACTGAAAAGAGATTTTAATCCCACAGAGGGCTAAATCTGATGGCGTAAATGTGACAGTATTATCTTTTATGCCAGAGGTGTCAAATTCAAAGCCCGGGGGCTAGATCTACCCCGTGACATCATTTTATTTGGCCCTTCATGAAAAGGTGAAAATCAATGCTGTTGTTCTTCTTATTACATAACTAACTTGGTATTATTTTTTTGGTCTTCAGCTATTTCCTGAGTACAGAGGAATCCAGACAAGCCAGACACCTCTACAGGTAAATTGTACGAATGGCATTTTCTTCATATTAATGCGTCATTCCAGAAAACTGGCAAGTCAACATTTCTAACCTGTCGCAAGGAAAAGTATAGTGGGATGCAGCTCAACGTCCAATTTACAAACTCCAGGCCATCACCATGAAGCAGCAATGTGGAGTTGCATAGCTATAAGTGAAAAGCCCACAGTCATCATGGGCATTAATGTTGTATTAAACTGGGGCTTTTAACAAGTGAATTGAACCATTATTTTTCACGGGGAGTGTAATTAATTACACAGCATACACAACAATACATTGGCTTGCTTCAAATATACTTCAAATGCCAGACAGCTAAAATTTGGGCAGAATTTGATGTTCCTAAAGGACAGTAAACTTCTCGCCATATGTACTGTTAATGCAGCTCACTCTGATGGAATGCTGCTCATTGTCAACTTCATATCTTCACCCATGATAGGAATTTCAAGTTCACGTGGTGTGCTGTAGCCAGGGGCTTCCTGACACATGGTCAGAATGACAAGAATTCCTTGTGCTGCAAAATAAATTTCACTTGGCTTTAGGCTTCAGGAGACACAGTCGCAGTGTCATAGAGAAGTGTTTCATTGAAACAAGGCACATATCTTACATAAGTGAAATATCACACCACCAATATCACACCACCAAGCAAAACATGTAACAGAAAGTATACAGTGTTGCCTGAACTCATGTCGTGTCTCAGTTTACTTACAGATTTAATTCGTGCTGCGGCACAGTGTTTAGGGGTAAACAAAAGCATGTTCAAATGTCAAAGCGGTAGCTATGTAGAATCCTAGAGCAATCTAAATGTGTGTATAGTTGGAGTGACCGTGTGAGTCTGAATGCTTTTTCTTCTTGTTTAAAAGTGTGCACGTGGAAGGAGCATTTCAACGGCAGTGCATCACATGTAAACTCCTCGAGGGCTGCCTCTTTTTTCAAGCCGATTTCAGTCCCAACTTCACCCACTTCACTCTCCGCTGCCTGGGTGAGTGTGAGACGCGTAGTCGTCATGGAACCTGCAAAGTCAAACACAATAAAAAGTTGGTTGACCTCTGTTTTGGTCATATTTCAATGCAATGCATTATGGATTTATTTTAAACCTCGGTGGGAAATCAGGATAGAAATAATTCATTCCAGGGTCAAACTGAGAACTTCACGTACATGACATTTCAGTGGCCCTGTGTATAAATAAATCAAGCTTTGTTCATACGGTAGAATCAATAAAACACAATCTGAACTTTGATAACAACTGACAACTAATGAGGCTGAAGACACAATCAATCCATAAATTTCTGTGTATCTTCTTCTTCTTCACCTCTTCTCTTTAATGGCCCTGGATGGGGCCATTAAAAAGCATTGAGAAAAAGCAAGCAAAACTCAACTAAATGAACTCTATGCTAAGTTGTTGCTCATCTCTAGTTACAGTATATACTGCTACTAATCTCCAGTGTCTTTTGAGAAATATTTATCCTGATAATTTCTGTCACATTCCAATTGTACAACCCAGCGGTTTAACTTCAGAGAGTTGAATTATTATTATTTTTTTTTAAATCAAATTTCATCATGGTTTGAAAATGTTTGTCCTCTGAAACATTCTCCAGGTCCAGGAATTCCAAAAGTGACAGTCCATAACTTAAAGGATCCCTCCAGTGAGTTTCACTTTTGCATGAACACAAAAACACACAAATGGCCATTTTGTATTAGAGCCACATGAGCAGTGATAAGGAGGCTTTTTGATCATTTTACCAGAATTTTAAGTAGTTTCTGGGTGTTTTAATAACATGTCAATTTGTCAAAATACAAAAAACAAACATAATCGGACAGTTTAGACATCTTAGTCTTTGTCTTGCTGAAATTAGCCCATTTTTAAGGGATTCACTCTACCTCGCGCAAGCTAGCAACAATATACACCCGTACACTGTTGCCAATGGTGAGTCCAGCTTTGGTTAAAATGATGATGGGGGCAGACCTCTGCTACAGCAGCTTCTTTTTGTGAAAGCAGAGCCGAGAGTAAAAAAAATAAACAAACAAAAAAAAACTTTGACAATGAAAGCATTTTACTTTCGTAGGCAGCACTTCATGTACTACACTGGACACATCACCAAACCGCACTGCTGCGTCAAAAACGTCTGTGCTCCTGAAGTCAGATTTTGTTTGATTTTAGTCCAGTACTGCCTCTGTCTGTCCTGTGGCTCTCCCTGATTGTAATATACAAAATCTGGGTGTTGCTGTTCCTCCTAGCTCGCGAAAATTATTTTAAATTATTGGTGTGGAGCTGTTATTTGTGCCCCTATTGGTTGTCTCTTTGCCTGAAAGGTAGCAGTTGATAATTTAACTGATAGTAAAATAATAATAATGTGGCCGCGGAGGATGAAAGATGTGATTTAAAAACCTGTTAAAAGCACATCATGTAAAATTTCTATCTACATTTTCTTATCATGTGGCCTTGCACTGAATTTCCATACTGTAAATGGATGTCGGTCTGATTCTTCAGGATTCTTTTCCATGTTCTGATGAAATAAATATTCTATTATCTTTTGGAGGATACGTTGTCTTGGAGGACAACAGTGCCCTGTCCAAAGCCTTGGAAGACAAGCGCCTTCCTGAGACTCTTTTCAGGACACTTTCAACTGACAACCTTGGTAAGACAGCCTTCATAACAATTATTTGATGACTGATTGTGGGTCTCTTGGCCAATTTCTTACCGCATTTGCTCTTGATGAAGAAATGAGCGTGATTCACTTTGAGAATGTATTTAGTCCTGCTTTTGTTTAATTCAAAGTTAAAACATTGAGTTTAAAATGATTCATCCGTTTTCAATTGTGCTTACCCTGATCGGGTCACATGGGGGCTAAAGCCCATCCGAACTGACTGATCAATGACAGTGCGTCACGAGCAATCAATGACTCATTTTAGAGCGCAGGTGTCAAGGTCAAAGCCCGGGGGCCAGATCTGGCCCACCATGACATTTTATGTGGCCCGCAAAAACAAATCATGGGTGTCAACTCCCATGATCCTTGCTATAATCTGTACCAAAATGTCAAGTTGTCACATGTAATAAATAACATTGACATTTTGCAAAAATGTTGTTCGCCTCATTACACTCATATGAAGAATAATTGCGCAACAACAAACACATTTGTTGACCTGAGTGGTTTCAAAACTAGTAATCCATCAGTTTGCTGTGTACAAGTAATAATACGATGAGAAAATTTATTCAGTGTTATTTCCTCCTGTCTTTCCTTAGATGTGCACCTGAAATTATCTTTGCCTCAAGGTTACGAGGTTAACCTGCACCCTTTGCTCATTATTGTGTAAGTAAACACATCTGCTGGCATTCTTCCCCTGTTTTGCACCCACCCACGCCCTTCAAAGTTTTCGGCTTTCAAATGTCTTCTTGCTGATGTCATCATTCAGAGACAGCTCTCCCGGCAGTCAGTCAGTAACGGAGGAGTTTGCTCTTGGCTGGCCTCAGGTCCTCTGTAGCTCACACAATGTGGCATTGGTCTGGATGGATGGCCAGCGCAGGGTGGGACGTGGACAGAAGACCGCTGCCGCAGACTCACGCAAGCTTGGTTCACTTCACGTCAAAGATCATTTGGAAGTTGTTGAGTGTGTGCCACACAGTAGCAACGGCAAACATAGCAATGATGCCGGTCAAACTGACTGAATAAATGGCTACTTTGCAGGTTGTTGATGAAGTTGCCGTATATTGACGATCGCCGCATGGCTCTCTATGGCAAGGTAAAAGTTTTTGTTTTTTTGTTTTCAATAGTTACAGTAGCACTCCAAAATGTTCTGTTTGAACTCAAATTTATTTGTTTTACAACAGGCATTTGGTGGACACTTAACGCTGAAAATGTTAACTGCAACAGAGAAGCTCTTTCAATGCTCAGCTGCCCTGGCCCCAATAACGGATTTTAGGCTTTACAGTAAGTTATTGTCATTATTACTCTCACGAATATAATTATAATCTCGACTTAACGTATGTACCTATTCTTCCTTCCTAACAACCCATCCACGGGGCCAGTATAGCCTTGCAACTTGCCTACCTAACACTCAGTCGACCTATCTACAAACTGATCAGACAATTACCTACAGACTCCTTATAGCATCGTTAGCTAGATATTGACGTATATTGTACCATTTCAGGCGCTGCATTCTCTGAGCGGTATCTTGGCTTTCCAACAAAGGAGGAGCATGTTTACTCGGTAAGGTTGAGAAGTCACATTGTTCTGAACTGGGCTGTTCAGGTTTATTCCTGGGTTCTATTGCAGGGATGGGGTTAGCAAATAAACATACTGCAATATTGCCTGCAAACACCAGTGCACAACAATTTTTGCCATTTTATTGGAAACATTCTGTTGTCGTATGTGTTGTGGGATTCCCTGTGAGATTTTGTTGTGGGTGAGCCGACAGTATTCTTGCAAAGTACAATAAAAAAAAAACTTTCGGGTCTATTAATCATTTACACCCAAGTTTAAGTTTGAAATGATACATTGTATTATTTTTTTGCCTCCAAACAGTAGGTTATGCTATTGTTGAGTTCATTCCAATGTGTTTTTGCAGACTGCCTCTCTGCTGGAAGAGGTCAGCAAACTGAAAGATGACAACTTTCTTATTCTACACGGAACCGCAGATGGTACTGGTTTCTATCCTTATTGAAATCATCAGCAGTGTGTTATCCTTCCCGAATCCTAACAGGCAAAGTGCATTGTGCGTTTCACCACAGCGAGGGTACACTTTCAGCACAGCGCGGAGCTTCTGAGCCGATTGGTGAGGGTGGAGGCCAACTATTCCCTGCAGCTCTATCCAGACGAAGGCCACACATTGCGGGAACCGCGCAGCGTCCAGCATTTCCAGCGCACGGTGGTCAACTACCTTCACAACTGCTTCAAGCACAGCACCCTCTTGGATACAGTTGAGGATGACGAGGAGGAGGAGGACGACTGACTGCCCTCACCTCTCGAAGGATTATTGTAGGTTTTTACGCCTTGGCGGTGAGTGTGATGTTAAGTTCAGGAGTGCAGACCAAACACTTTCAGCCAAGCAAATCAGCTCCTACAACTTTTGGAAAATGAAGCAGCTACTCAACACCTATTGCACACAATTGTTTCTGATGTTTACTGTCTGCTCGGGACCCCGTTTGTTTACAAAATATAGTGGGTATAGAAAGTGAACACACCCTTGTGTTGTTTTTGCACCTTTTCACAAAATTTGCGCCCCCCCCCCAAAAAAAATCATCAGGTCTTAAAAACGAGAGAAAAATGCGTTACGGATGGAGCTATCTGACGCGCATATTTGGCACAAAAACAACACTGTGCATCTTTGGAAGAACATTATTCCCATGGTGATGATACTTGGTTTTCTTTATGTGCAACTAGGCCTTTAGCCACCATGGACCGGGACTTATGAACAGTTCCAAATATCTGTCAAGTTTGGTGCAAATCCTTTTGAGGTGTGCCTGAAAGCTGAAGTAAAACAATTGTTTTACCTGAGGAGGCATTTCCCTTGCCATCTGTCACATTTGGAGTGTGCAAATATTTTCAAGTCAAGACATGCTGTGCTGATCGACTTCCACCAAAAATGGCTGCTTACTATGCATGCTTTGTATTCTCTCTCTAATACAGTGGTCCTCAACCTTTTTTCCACTAGGGACAGATTTTTCACAGACCAGAAACCATTTGTCTGTGGGGGTGCAGACGTTTAATCCCGATCGGAAACTAATCGCTGGGGGGCGGGGCTCGGCGAGCCAATATGCTCTGCTACAAAAAAATATATATATATACTTTTTTTTTCAATCTATCTGTGTGGTCCGATGTTTGGAGATGACTGCTCGAACTGACTTTCTATATCCACTGTATATGTATGATGATGTACGCTGATGGTTGTGCCAAATGTTTACAGGTTTTAAAGTGTACCTAAAGACTGCATGATGTCAAGTAGATTGCATTTTCTGTGTTTTGTCATCATGGTTTGAAGTATAATATTCCATTCTGAGACAAAGAGACTTTACAGGTTTCATATTCAGAGTGCAGCAGGACTAAACTTCAAAATGAAGCTTACATTCTTGATGAGTCATTTTGCTTCCAGGCTGGTTGGAAAGAATCCACATTCCTTTTAAGGTTAGAGTTATTGTGACAACTATTTTCTTACACCACTTAAATAGTGCAGCGCATATGTGCTGTACCAAAATACGTCCATCAAATGGACTGTTGTGACAATGTGAATTAATGTATTTAACAATGCAGTTGTCATTTGCATCAATTCAACAACAAGCCCTGACTCAAAGACCGCAGTGGAAACAGATCACCTTCATGTTTTGATATGCAACGGTAAATGAGTCTCTCTTAATGCATGAGACGCAACTGAATTTACTGGCCATCAAACTAAACGATTGCATGCCTCCGATTTGCCACATCAAGCATTTGTTTTTCAGCAAAACCTTGACAATTAAAACCTTATTTTACAGCAAAATCGTATTTCTTTGTGGTCTCTTATTTCGTTTGTCATTGTGTTTCAAATGAATCATTTGAGTTGAGTGGTATGCCCCTGTACCCGCGTTGTAGACTAGGTCAGTGAGTCCCAACCAGGTCTGCTGTGGGAATTTATCCAATGTCACGTATTTGGATGAAAAACTATTTACCGTATTTAGAAAAAATTAATAAATAAATATCCCTCCATCCATTTTCTGAACCGCTTTAACCTCACATGGGTCGCGGTGCGTGTTGGAGCCGATCCGAGCTGTCTTCGGGCAGTAGGTGGGTGACATATAGACGACACTTAGTCCCCCGCCTACTGCCCGAAGACAGCTGGGATAGGCTCCAGCACGCCCTGCGACCCTTGTGAGAATAAAGCGGATCAGACATCAAATGGATGGATAAATTTGGTTAACGTTAACATTGGTAGTTGCTGTAGTTTATTTTATTTTTTTTAACACACGCTTGAATCTGTGTCATATTTATCAGATCTGTCAGGAATTAAGAAATTAAGGTAAAGTTCAACAACTTTTGACAGTCAGATCTTGAATGTACAGTTATGTTCGGATAGCGCCATTGACGCCGTCAAATGAGCGTAAGCGTAGCGGTTCTCCAGCCAGTTCTCTAACCAGTTCTCTAGCCAATCACAGCCCTCGACGCAACACCACGTTTCCGATCCATCGTCCAATCAACATCGATGCTACTTGCAGGCCCGAATCCCCTTTTCAACCTTCTGTTCTTTAGAGGGGCACCTTCAAGCGGCTCCGAGGTGCACTGCTAGCGGCTTTTTGATCTCCTGGAAAACGGCAGACTAACACTTCAACACAGACACGATGTCGTTCCTGACTGTCAGCAGGTTAGCGCCTAAACTCCTCAATTCAAAGGTAAGAAGACGGCGCGCGTCCTCCGTGTTACTTTATCACAATTCCTTAAACCGTCAAGTTAGCCGGCTAACTGCAAGGTAGCTAACGTTAGCTACGGCGGCCACATTGTGAGACAACTGTGGTCGTGATATGGATTAAATGCTGCATAGAGACTCATCTAACCCCGAACGTTTGATTTTATATATTAACGCTGTTATTGTTGTTTTCCAATTGCGTAAACAAGTAATAACCATGTCGATGTCTCTTCATGAAAAATCATATCTGGACATGTTTGTTAATTGAAGATGTGTAAAGAGCAGACTGTGAAAGGGATTAACAAATCACTTCACTTTTTAAAGATGGAATGCTGTCTGAATTTAACTCGTGTTGTAATTTAGATTTTCAGTGTTGTGACACTGAAGAATTCTCCACCACCATGTTGACCTTCACTAAAAAAAAAAAGTCCCATTACTTAAACTAGTTCTGTGAGAAAATCCTCGAAAGACTTTTTTATTAGGATATTAGAAACATCTTTCTTGGATTTTCCGCAGTGCGAATTTCCAATATAAAGCCAATCTGCAGTGTTTTACATTTGACAAAGGGTAATGTAGTCGTGGTTTAACTGTACATTACTGTACATTGAGCTTGAATCACTGGAGGTTGTATAATGCATTTGCTCCTGAGATTATCAAGCGCATTGCCTGTCTTCACTGATTGCAACCATCTTGCAACTTTAACCTACTGGTTTACTCCACTGACTTCAACATTCACTAAATTACCTCATATCAGGTAAAACTGCATTGAAACCTGCTGGGTAGTCTGTATTTATAATGCTGTACAAACTGCAATGGTTATCAGGCTTCGTTTCCTAGATAACCTCTGTCACACTCACCTCTTTCCCCTTTCTTGGGTCAGGTTTTGCCCTGTTTGGCTCTTTTTATTGTTGTTCTTATATAACAAGCCCTGGTTGTAAAATCTCAAATGTGACTGACAGAACACCTGGAGCTTCACACGGGTTTTTTTGCAGTTGTAAGTGAACCCGTACTCGGAGAGGAGCTTTTCTCAAGGTTGAAAGTAGGATATATTAATGGTGTCCTTAATGCACCGCTTTTTTCCTCTCTGCTCAAAGACCACATATTCATTTGTAATTGCATAATTCCTCAAGCAATGCAAATTTATTTTAGGGTTTGTCCTCTAAAACAAATTACACACCTGATAAAGATACCTCTGTGGTTTCCCTCATGAAATGAGTAACGGGCGGTGCCAAGAGTGGGCTGTAATTACCTGTTTACAGTAACATGACGCCACCCAGTCACATTTGATGTCATTACCATAACACGCATTGCCCACACAGCAGAAATTCCATCTGTGAAGCTAAAGCGGGGTTTAAAGAGTGAGTGCAGAGAATTCTGGCGTAAAAATAATTGAACATTTCAGCAGTAACCTGAAGAAAAGTGGGAATGGGAAGAGGTAAGGGGACAAAATCATTCTCACATCCACTGATAAGAAAATTCTCACTGACAGAGGGAAAGAAATTTGGTGAAATGTTGGAAAGAAAGCTTTGGGAGATAAACCTAACCCAACAGTGTCATGGAAATAATAGATACTGCAAATAACGAGGTGTGTCACAAAAGTTCCAGGTCTGGTTTTCATAAAAGATATTTAATTCGAAACAGGCAAGTCCGGATTCACAGCTGAGCGTACTTAGTGTTGCACTTAGCTGTGCTGCAACATGCTGGGCAACTATCGAAGGCAAGGATGGGCAACTTAAATGATGGAGGCGACCACAATTTTTAATCAGCGGTACTTGACTTCCAAACTAAATGTATGTCAAAAATGCCATCTTAATTCTGGACAAAATGCATGCTTGCCAGCGAATAGCGAAACTCCACATTTAATTGGCGACTCTTAAAATGCATTACGATTTTTTTTTTTTGTCTTGTGGGTGTAAACTCCAAAAATTCTTCAAAAAATGCTGAGAAACATCCAAGATGCGTTTCCCACAAAAATGGGGGTTGTTTCCTCCCAAAACACAATTAAAATACAATGGGGGTGGGGAAACTGCAAGCAGATGAATTGAGTATACTGGGGTCCACTTGAGTAGAGGAAACGTGTATGTAATTTCCCCTCGACTTTACACAGAAGCAAGCAATCTTTGTGATTTGGAGAACTGGTCTCGGTTTCTCATTTCTAGACAGCGATAGAGAACATTCGCTAGGTATTGTAATACTTTAACAAGCGCTAGTAAAAAAGCCCATCCCCGTTGTGCTCCTCTCAGGAAGTGGGCAATGACTCATGTTCCATATTTGAGCCCTCCCCGGCCCGTTACATAAGCACCTCTCAGCCATGTGTGTTGATATAAGATCCTACTTTTTTGTTTTGGCTGACCCTCTTGAGTCATCCCCCCAACCACTTTGTAGTCATTCATCATATCAGCGAGATTAGAGCCAAGTGACCCAAACCCTTTAACCCGACTCTCCTCCAGTCGTTCATTTAACTTGACCTGACAGAGAAGTCAGCTTTCACTGGCATAATGCAGCAGGCCAAAGTTTTTGTACTGCGGTATGAGGGCTGGGAGTGATTCCAAATGCGTTGTGATGCAGATGTAAATAATTTTGAATTGTCAATTGACACTATAAATGATATTGTCAATTGTTAGATAATGTGACGCTGCTGGAATAGGGAAAAAAAGAAATTGTGTCAGGAAGTGAATGGACATGTGATACTGTTCACGACGCCCCCGCCCCCTTCACTTTTTTTTTTAAATTGAAGGTATACAGTATATTGTATCATTCCACCATGGAAAAAGAACTGTGCAAAGTAACCATTAAAAGTTCCACCAGTAATGACATTCACGCCCATCAAGAGTGTATGTAAACATTTTGACCACAGCGGTAACTGCAAATGAAAATGGGCCTTCCCACAGGGACACTTGGTCAATGCTTCTATGAAAAGCCAGCTCAGGGAATAAAGATTATTTATTAATGAGAATTGTGTGGAGATTTGTTATTAATTTACATGCCTGATTGATTCTTTTATTGATGTGGTGTGCAGTAAAAGCTCCATGCTTTTTTTGTCCTTGATGATGATGAGTGCTTTGAACTATCCGTTTTAAATTGTGTAATTTGTTCATTATTATTTACATGCAGCACTTTGTTTCAGAGGCCGTTACTTTAACCTGCTCTCTCAATAAAAAGGAGTTCAATCCGCAGAAGACGGTTTCATTTGAAACAAAATATTGCTCTCAAAATAATTTACTGTTTTAATTGGTTTAGCTTGCTTTTTTTTAATACCTGTTTTCCTCCTTTGACAATGCGTCACAATTGTAACATTGCTAATTTCTTCTCCCACAGAGTGCTACCTACTTTATTACAGCTGCTAGAAACGCCAGCGCTTCTCCAACAGTAAGTCCCTTTGACCTCCACCTCGATTGTCTCAATTAACATCAGCAATGTGGGTGAAGCATCCACTCGTCATATTTGCCAGCGGGAGCAATCACTTCGGTTTGCTGTGCTACAGTAAACATCAGTAAATCCTGTGTTGACAACTCCATGCAAGGCCTGAAATCAGCAGTTTCGTTTTTTTAAAGCATTGAAATTAGTGTTTTTCTGTTTTCTCAAGCAAATATAACAAATTACCGGTAAGTTTTGTAGCTGTCGGCTATTATTTCACTACTTTTTACTGTTGTTTTAAGTTTTTAACCATGATATTATTTTCTTTTTTTGTCTTATAAAGTTACATAAAATAACTGACCTGTTTTGTCTGCCGCTGCTTGTTGCCAACAAGGGAAGAAAATATTTTGCTGGTATGATCAGCTGAAAAAGTTGGTCTCACCAATTACTACTACCAGTCCGAAAGTTAATTTAGAGCCCCGGTCAACTATGAGATGGTCGGGTATTTCCGCACAGACCTCCAACTGCTCCGAGCAGTATTCTGCTCAGGAAAATGACATTTTTGTGCTGACTTTGTTTGCGATTGGTCTTTTGAGCTAATCCCTCATCGTATTTTAGCTGTGTGATATTTTTGGACAAGGTGTTTATTTGTGCCTTCTTCAAGTGTGTTTGTTTGGCTTCTTTTCAAATCCAGAATCTGAAGGATGTTCTGTCAGACCTCATCCCAAAAGAACAGAGCAGGATCAAGAGCTTTAAGCAGCAGTATGGCAAAACCAACATCGGGCAGATTACTGTGGACATGGTGAGCAGACCTCTAACTCTTCATCAACTTCATTTCTTGCACAGGTTTAGCAAAGTATATCCGATGTTGTTTTTATGTGATGGGGGTAAAAAAAAAAAAGAAACGTCACTACTTACCAGGAAATCTAGAATAGTCACTGATATAATTGTTTTGTGATGATTATTTCAAGTTCGCTTTCTACAGCAATATGCTTTTCACAGTCCTATGCTTTTTCAGATATTTAAACCGCAGCCACGTACTCTCCTACTCGCATGCATATAAATCAGCATGCAGTGCGGCAAAAAAAGTATTCTACCGGTATGCCCCTGTTGTTGTCCTACCGGTGAGACTAAAACTAACCAAATCACAGCACACCATAAAAATCCTCACAGCCCAATCCTGAACGAGCCCCCAAAATTGTAAATCTACTGATGTTACAGATGAAATGAATTACTCGCTCAGTGTCAGCTAATAACTGCAACACAAGGGTGGACGATGGCACACTGACATTTGGAAGGGGGGGGGGGGCGTTGCTCATCTTTTAAAACATTAGAGCTTTTGACAACCTGATGCAATGCACCAGCAAATCGTAGCCAAAGAATGGACTTTGGTATTTGATAAGTACTTGCGCTACTTGCCCGGCGTGTCATGAGTCAAATGTTCACACAGGTACTGGCAAGAGATACTGTATTGAGAAACAGTCTTTTGTTCGTATGACAGGGAGTGGTTTCAAGTGTTGTACAAGTTTAACTGGTGAAGAGCAACAGCAGATTGGTCCATTTTTGTTACCTGTGGCGGCTTGCTCATTCAACTCACCACATATAAAGTAGATATATCATCTGCCAAATGGAAATATTTCATTTCACTGTTAGTTTTTATTATCACTCAAGATCTAACCCATACACTTGCGCCAGCAGCCATGCCGGCAGAAGTGGTGTCAAAATGTTGTGGTGGAGGGCGAGGAAGACTTTGAGCAGTTTTGAGGGTATGAAAAAGGCCTAATGTATTCGGTTGGCACGTTATTTTAATGCTTAGCACATTCATTTATTGTTTAAATTGTTCGTTGGTACCCTTCTGATATATGAAGCAACCTGCCTCACCAACAATATCATCGAACACCCAAGAGAATATCCCCCCACCCCCCACCCCCCTTTGGAGGTGGAGTGCAACTGAAAGACATTTGGGTATTAATTTATTTTTAACATGCACTTGTGTTTTCATCTCCAGGTGTATGGAGGAATGAGGGGGATGAAGGGTCTGGTATATGAGACCTCTGTGCTGGATCCTGATGAGGTCAGTGGTGACCGCTCCTGTTTTGGCGTACCTTTCCTGAATACTGCACCTTACACCCATATTCAAAGAAAACTCATTGATTTTTGTCACTGTTTTTCCAGTGATGGTTTGATCTTGGTATTTATTTGAAATGTGTTTTCAACCATACATGAACTCAATCATGGACCAAAAATCCATTGTTTGCATCTGTGAAGGTGCATTTCTTATGATTCTGCCTGGTTCAAAAAAAAAAAAAAAAAAAGATTGATACATTGCTATATACACAGATAAATTGATGCCTTGATAGATAGATTTATACATGGATCGATTAATCCCCTGAGGGAAATTGGATTGTCACAGTAGCAGGATTCACAATTATACGAATAAAAGACAAAACAATAAGAAAACAAATATTAGTAAATTTTCTTGCTAGCTTGACTTTTCTGTTTCTATACAGGGCATCCGCTTCCGAGGCTATAGCATCCCTGAATGTCAGAAGTTATTGCCCAAAGCTGAAGGAGGTGAGGAGCCGCTGCCCGAAGGCCTCTTCTGGCTGCTGGTCACAGGACAGGTGCCCACTGAGGAGCAGGTGAGAGTCAGGATGGGGCATTGGAGCCCCAGAAAATCCTTCCATGTTCTACTTTATTCGTTTTAGTCTCCCAGGAAGAGACGGGAGATGGTCAGAATCTAAACATTGCCCATTTCGGAGCAGTTGAAATTTCTTTTTGATGGGCCTACAGATCACTAGACAATAGTCAAATGGACTCGGCACTAAAAATGCAGTGTAAAATGCACATTAGGGACACAGTGTACATACAGTACGTGACTACAAACGGTTGTAAAACAACATAAAAGCTTAGTTGTAAACATAAAGTCACTGTGCAACATCTTGAAATTATTTATGACTGAATCAGTCTGACAAATTTATTGCTGGAGAAAATTTTCATTTTATTGCCGTTATTACCAGTACGGACAAGGCAGACTGATAAGAGTGTTGCCGTTGAGCCACACACGTCTGAGAGAGAAAAACCATCTTGACAGTCCATGTCTGTCAAGTTACATGTTAGACAGATGTGCCTAAAATGTTTGTGTAACCACGTACACTCCTGTTTGCCAGGTGAACTGGGTTTCGAAAGAGTGGGCAAAGAGGGCGGCACTCCCGTCGCACGTCGTCACCATGTTGGACAACTTCCCCACGAATCTGCACCCCATGTCCCAATTCAGCGCTGCCATCACGGCCCTTAACAGTGAGAGCAGCTTTGCACGAGCCTACTCTGAGGGTGTGCACAAGTCCAAGTACTGGGAGGTGAGTTGTTACGCTTGCATTGGCATTCAGCCTGTTCATGTGTCCTGTTTTAAATTAATGTTTAAACATCTTTGTACAAAGGAAAACTCTCTCTCGCTCGCTCTCTCTCGCTCTCTCCCCCTCCCTCCCTGTGTACACATAACGTGTGATCACAATTTCCCCTTTACAGACAAATGAAAATAAAATAGTAACACAATGAATTAATGCCATTGTACAATTAAAGTTAGTTATTAGAGTAGTTTTCCATCTATGGAAAAACACCATGTGGGTTCACCCTTATCCTCAAACAAGTTGCCAAAAATACAGTGAACCACCACTATTTGCAGCGGATAGGCACCAAGCACTGCCACAAGTAGTGAAAATCTGAATAACTGACGTCCTCGCTAAAAGGGTTTGTAATTGCATAGAGATAAAACTTGATGGTGGTGAAACACTTAAAATCTAGACGATAAGAAAGCATCAACTCTATGCATTGAGCATCTATTGTCATTTCATCCATGTTACATAAAGCACTATACTCAAGCAAGAGTTAAGTTATTCAACACAAAGAATCTACCTTGAGGCTCATCGATAAGTGTTAGCTAGCATACTAGCCTTGATAACACACTAGCGGAAACTGAGGTGACATCACTTGCCATGAGTCGTTCAAACCCTCTCGCCTCTTTCTCAGTATGTCTATGAAGACTCCATGGACCTGATCGCCAAGCTGCCGTGCATTGCGGCCAAGATCTACCGCAACCTCTACCGCGAAGGCAGCAGCATCGGAGCCATCGACTCCAACTTAGACTGGTCTCATAATTTTACCAACATGCTGGGTTACAGCAACGCCCAGTTCACTGAGCTCATGAGACTCTACCTCACTATTCACAGGTAATATACACACTGCCCTTGGGTCAAAGATGTCTTATATTTGCCTGAACGAAATGAGGAAAATCAAGTAAATGCTGCCAGCGAACTGCATGTCCAGTGAACACTTCAGGATTTTTAAGTTAAAGTCACGAAACTATTTAAGATGCAGCAACTCACTGTTCATTTACTCCACAATCAAATTATACACATCTACAACACGTTAAATTTTTTTTGTTTTAAATTGGTCAAATTTTGTGTGATCATTTAGAATTGGCTTTGCGTGTTGTTGATACATAACAGCTGCGAGTGTTCCATTGCCTGGTGGTTGGATTTGATCCAGAATCATTTTCCAGTCAAGCTGATTTAAATGTTTTCATTCAAGATCTTTATATATCAAAGCTTGTTTGGTTTGATTAAAATTAAATCAAATCCCAGCATGGGGGGGAGGGGGGGGCAAAAGCAGCATATTTTTGAATCATGTCACTGTCATCCACTTTTTTGTAAAAGCGGAAGGTTAAAAAAAAATGGAAATCTCTTTTCTGTGGGATGTGAGTTTGGTCAGGGCAGTTGCCCCAATCCTACTTACGGTAATTTGAATTGATCAATACTGCATGTATAAGACAAGCTAACGTTTCTGTCATGTGACAGTGACCATGAAGGAGGCAATGTCAGTGCGCACACCAGCCACTTGGTGGGCAGCGCCCTGTCAGACCCCTACTTGTCCTTCAGCGCCGCCATGAACGGCCTGGCCGGTCCTCTTCACGGCCTGGCAAACCAGGTTGGTCATTGACGGACCTATACACAGCCAGACCACCTATTAAAATTCAGGGTTTGTTTGTGCTGACAGTGCTGTCTTCTGCTTCTCTTTGTCTCCCAGGAGGTGCTAGTGTGGCTGACTGCGCTGCAGAAGGAGCTCGGTGGGGAGGTCTCAGATGAGAAGATGAGGGATTACATCTGGAACACGCTCAAGTCCGGAAGGGTAAATACCGCCACTTCTTTCCATGGAATAGAAAGTAAATGATAGGCAGCTTCAGGGGCTGGTTTTACACCAAATGGTTTATAGTAGTGTCACAAGTAAGAGTTGTTGGGCAAGTTTTGATTGTTTTGTAATCCTACTATATTGACAGTGCGACTGCTGTGAAAAAACTAATTAATCCAAAACAGTAGTCATACATGGCAATTTTCCGCGGATCCGCGGAAATCCGCCGTTTTATTTCTTAAATTGATCATTTTTGTGAATCGTCTAAATCCGTTGAGAAAATTTTAGGGGCGGCCAGGTACCTTATCGTGAGTTTTCACGAGCTCTCCCGAACAGTCTCTCCGTTTTCCGTTTGTAAACAGCCCTGCGATTGGACGTGTATGAAAGCTTCAACTAATCAGATCACTGAAGGCATTATTTGTTGCGGAAGTCTTAGCTCGATTATAAACGGCCCAGCGATTGGTTAACTACAAGCGATTGGACCAATCAAATTGCATGTAACATATTGTTTTACCTGATTCATGGCGGCCTGTTCGTCTCGCAAATTCATTGTTCTGGGATCGTTTGAGCGGAATTATGAAATTTTTGACGAAAGATCAGGAGTCTTTAATCCTAGAAATTGACTCAAATGTCAAGAATAAATTCCGATTGGACTGGCTTGACAGAAAAGTCACTGTAAAGGTTAAAATTGGTTCCAAGTTCGACGAAGTTACAGAAGCTCTTGGACAATTTTTGAAGAAACCAGACGTAGCAGGCAAAGCTTATTGTGTGTATTGTAGTGACTTAATTAACTATGGCTCCCGTGGATGCGTGGCACTGACAGATCATGCAACAAAAGGGAAAAAACATCCCGACAAAATCGCCATTCGACGGAGCAATTATTCTTTGGGATCGGCATTTTTCAAACAAACTTCGTCAGCGGATACAACTAAAGACGTTACGCGCTGGGGTACTTTGGCTGAACCAAGCAACGAAATCTGCTCCACTGACGCCCCTCCTGTGCCGTCATTAAGCAGCCCGACATTCTTTCACTTTCTGTCGCTCACGTGCGGTTTGGAGTTAAAAGCTTCCATTCATGAGCGCAAAGAAGCCAAAAAGCAGGATGCCCCCACCCTTTTGGTGCGCCGACCTGGTATCCACCTCGGTGTTTCACTTTTTGCCCAAAGATCAAAAATGAAAGAGGAACGTACGGTGCTTTCCAGGATTAATAATTACTCCCACTGATGTTCCGTTTCTGAAATGATATGTCCGCTATAAGGTTGCTATGAAAGATCTCCAAAGTTGTGTTTGCGAACGTGGTTACAGTTTTTTCGCAACTACATTGTGTAGGGAGTTAGATGTAAAAAAAAAAAAAAAAAAAAAAATAC